TTTTTTAATTAAATTTTAATTTTTTTCTTCAAGGGGGGGGATAGGGCCCCTTGTAGCCCCTTTCTCTGGCTGCGCATCTAAAAATTCAAAACGTTACCAGAAAGGAGTCATATACAGAACTTTTACCATAGATTAGGTTTAGTGATTTGGGCTACGAATATTTTATTAATTCATCCTCCTTGATCTCCAATTTACTTAAACAGAAATCATACTGAGTCCAAGAACAATGCACAATGGTATTTATATTTACCATTTTCATAACTAACTAATCATTATGTTTTGCATGATATATGGCCCTACCACCATAGATAAGGACATGAGAATTAAAGAATGCAGGGACAATTTTCAGTTTCCCCCAAACCAACGATTTTCTGATGTGGCTTATGTGTTCCTGGGGAAATATGTAGTAAATTAATTGATGTTCTGCATCACTTCCGTCGCAACTTGAAAAACTAAGCATTTGCAACGGAAGTGATGTAGAACATCAATCAATTGAGATCTGTTATTGAAATGATAAAGACTTAAAGACAGGACAAAGTGCTTTTAAAACCTACAAACGGAAGTCAGTTTGCGTTTTTAGGATTTTCTTTATAGTATTTTACCAAAAATGCGTCTTTAACTGGTCCATGCGTCTTTACTGGTCAAGTAACCCTATCAGGTACCTCCCTTAACATTTAGAGGCGAAAACAAACATTTTATCCATACACATCAATGTCTATCAACAACACTTCAGTTAATTTGTCACAGTACAAGTCTAGATAACGTGTAATTAGTACAGAAAATTGGAGAGGAATCTCCCATACTCACCCATTAGCGGGAAAACACAGCTGTTCTGATGTAAACAAAGGCGTGTTGAGTGTTGCCATCTATGGTTAGGTTTATTTATTTTTATTTTATTTTATTTCATTATTTATTTTTGTTTTGATTAATTTTTAAAAATCAATTTTACTCTCCAAACACTTGAACTTTTTAGGTAGGAACCCCTTTGCACTTGCACCATGTGCGCAGTCTTGGATGAGCCCCTGAACCCCTTGGACCACGGGGCCCCCAAATGCGCGGGGCCCTAGGCAAATGCCTCGTTTGCCTATGCGGTAATCCGGCCCTGGCTCGTCTCCACCACCTCTCACTACCCAACATCCACCTGATGATATCTCTACCAAATCCTATTACTGCATGATGTTTGCTCACATGCAAAACGCTGCAAAACTTGGCTATTTCAACACGACTATTAATGAACTTCTTGCACTCAACAACATGCCATCATTTAACTTCCCTGCAAGTCCACTATCAGCTGAAATTTTGAAAATAATCCCGAAGATCGTCAGTTTTGAAGCGCCAGATGACTTGAAGGAATTAATAATTGACTACGACGACGCATCCTCTTTTGAATCCTCCAATCAACATTCACCTGATAACATCCAAGACAGCAAGCACCACGCCTCCTATTCGTCGTTTGGCTCGTCGTGGCGGCGCAAATATCATTCCTTCGCCTCCACTCACCACTACTCAAATGGACCAATCAGAAGCCACGATTCCACCACAGCCTTCTATACACTCTGTAGCGGAGATCCCAACATTGATTGAACCTTTCTTCTTCGCTTCTAATGACCAGAGCTTTGGTAAGATGGGTAAGGAAGAAGGATGGGTAAGGATGGAAATATTGGAAAAGGGTGGGAGGGGGGGGGAGAGGTAGGATATAAAAGGCAAGTGGCCCAACCACTTTGGTGCAATTTAAAAAGTGTATGTGAATTAATAAGATATTCTTTAAGAGGTATAATACTAACCCATCAGAGTCACATAGATATAATAGGTATATAACTACATGACTCTGAATTAGTAGTAATTATACAAGTTGCAATTGCTTTTTTTTTTTTTTTTTTTTTTTTTCCGCGATTGCACAACGGATATTTATACGACAAGAAAGGCAATTAATTTTCGGGGCCAGTTTATAATTTTCGTACAATACTTCTTAATGGTGGTGTCCAAAAAAATATTTAAATAGCAAAATTTTTTACTTAGAAAGTTTTTTAAAGGGATGTCTCCCTTTTTGGGGGGGCGACGTTTTTTCTCGTATACAAAAAGGGGTTCGGGTTTGGTACCCAATTTTCTTAACGGGTTTAAGTTGCTAAAAAATCTTTTGGGTTTGGGGGAAATTTCATTTTTTGAAAAAAAACGAAAACCCTCTGTGGGAGAGTCATTCTTTGAGTCCTGTGGGGTGGAGTAGGGAAAGGGTAAAAATTTCTGTGGTTTTATCCCCCTTTGTAAAGGATGTTTTTATCTGGCATGAAATAGTTCTTGCATTGTATAAAGTGTTTTCTTTTTTGGGGTTTTCAAGGCGTACATTTATGGCAGAATTTAATCTTGTTGTGTTGTAAATTTTGCCTTTTTTTAACTCTGCCCTCCCCCTCCTGGCCCGGTAATAAAGCGAAAGCTCTATTTGGACCCTTTGAAAAACCGTGAAAGTTGGTCTTTGTTGTTAATGACTTTGGGGACACTTTTAAATCTTTTTAAATACAATTTTTTTTTGACAGGGTTGAGGGGCTTGTTTTGAATCAAAAAGAGTCTCCCAAGCCCAAACTTTGGCTGTGGGGTCTTTTTGTTAAAATGAGATGTTGATTTGGAGCAGCCTTTTAAATTTTCATACCCCAAAAAATCTTTTTTTAGGGTTTCAAATGGTAAGGTGAAACCTCTGATGGAAAATCCCCCCCTTTATTTTCGATGGTTGATGAAAAAACACCTATGGGTGCAAAAAAGGGACCTTGTCGGGAAATTAGTCGTAATTCTCCTTTTTCTTTTTCCCAATTTTAGGGTTCAAACAAAGGTTCAATATTCATTTTTTTATGACTTTTTTCATACTTTTTTTTTTCCTTTTAAAACGGGGGAGTTGATGGGGGGACGACAAATAACATCATCTGAAAAACTGTGTCCAATTGTGTAAATTAAACTCGGGTTGAGGAAGGTCTTTTTTAAAACCAAAAAATTTGTTAAAAAAAGGGGAAATAAGACAAAAACCCTTTGGGGGGGACACCAAAGGGGGGTCGGTATAAAAGGTTCTGTCGACTTCCCGGGAAAAAGGTTTGGGAATGTTTTTTTCTTTGAGTTAAAAAATTAAAAAATTACT